GATTGGGGAGCCCCAAGCCTGATTTCGGGGCCCTGTGGGCTAGTTTCACTTTTTGCTTGCTCAACAGAGGGAGGGCTGGCTGCAGGTGGGACGCCCTGCAGGAAGGTGCGAGGGCTTGCTTTGACTTTGGCGTTGAGACCAAAGGCCGACAGTGAATTTCCACGTTTCACTCAGGCGCTGGGGTCATTCAGTAACCAGAGCTTCTGGAGGAAAACACTTGTCCACGGTGGGCCACCAGGAGCCCTGGAGCAGTTGACCCCAGGTACCCATGACAGGAGGATTGTAGTACTTACGTGCAATATATGCAGGTTTCCTTTTTAACTTTGAGAGAAGTTTGGTGGCACAGGGAAATGGTTTTAGAAATGGCCTTCCAGACCTAACTTTTAAAGCAGTGTGGAAAGTCGTGTCTAAGAGAATACTTAAGAGGCTGGGCTCTTTTCCCTGGGAAACTAGGAGGCTACTTGGATTTGAGACAGACTGGAATGACTTGTCCAGAGCCAAGATCTGGATTCTGGGATTGGCCATATAGTGCCGGTTGGGGGGGCTGGGTTTGTGTCTGTTGGAACTGAGTGGAAGCAGCCCTTTCTGCTGCGATGACATATGGAAACGGACTGTACCCCTTTGAAGGGGTCTCGGTGGGCTGTGTGCACTTTGTCTCATTTGATCACTTCCTTACTGTTCCCTTATTAGATGAGCAGGACCCCTGCCCACTTTGGGAGTTAGCCTATAAAGCTGATTGCTAGTATCTCTCCCTGTACTCTGGGGTTACTTTGTTTCCAAAAGCAGTTACAAGTGATGGGGTTCCCAGCCTCTCTCTGGTCTTGGTGGTGTGTGCTCCTTGGAGTGGCTATGATCAGCAGGTGGATGTCATCTGGGTGGCTGACTTAGCTCAGCGTGGACCTGCTGGAGGCCTTGTGTGACCCCACCTAGGCTTATCTGTACAGCACCACGGCAGAAGGTCTAGGTTTTGGAAGGTGCCTCCAGGACAGTTGGGAAGAGGGTTAAACCGTGGTTCCTACGGTAGGAACAGGGAAGGGATGCTGGAGTTGAAGGGAGGTCTCTGTCCCACGCTAGACTGCTCCCAGATAAAGGCCCAGCACCTGGGAAGGACAGTATCTGTGTGCCACATAGGGCTGGGGAAACTTGAACAGAAAGTAACAGATCTTTGGAAGCTAGAAAAGAGCATCTGTCGCAGCAGTCCTTGTTTGCTTCACTCTGGGGCTTGTGGGTTCCACCCTGTACTGACACACTCTGAGCCATACTCGGGTGTGAGGAGCAGGGCTAGCTGCTTGCCCTGGATTATGTCACAAATTGCCACAGCCAGAATTGAAATTAAGAACAAAGGGATTCCCATCTTCTCAGACCTGGCAGGGGAGTAAGTCTGTAAACTTCGTCTCTGGCCCAGTTGGAGGTAGGCAGGGTGTGCTAAGGTCCTTTTATAATTGGGGAAAAGCAAAGATGGAAATTTACTGTGTTTCAGGGGTCAGATGGCATCATTGATCCAATCTCACTCCTGACAAGTTGACACTGGTTAACTGGCCCAGTTCCATTTACCCCTCCCAAGATGGAGCTGGTGTCTGTCCCCTTCTTTGACTTGTGGCTTTACTTAGGTCCTGCAGTGTGACCCAGTGTCACAGCTTTTCAGATCCAGCAGTGGACTCTTGATATCCCCCACTCCCTCTCTTGCCAAAGCAACCAGCACTTCTCCACTCCTCTCCCCCTACTACACATTTCTCCCTTCTCTCACATGCTTCTCCCCATCCTGGCCTTGTGTGCACCTCCGTGATTTTTCCCGCCACATGCTTGGTGGTGAGGTTTGAACAGCTTGTCTCTGGGCGTGACTGGCCACATTGAGCCATTGGCATCTTGCTGACTTGTCTGACACGAGCCCTGTAGCTGCTCAGTCTTCTCACTGAGAAGTTTCTGCTGCTGGAGAAACTGAATTTTGTAAAACAGTTGCTCAGGGACTTCATGGGGGTTTTTCTTCAGTCAATTGAAGAACTTTGGGATCTTAAATGAATTTTCCCAAGTCGAAATGTGAGCAACTGAACAGTGAGTGCATCATTTGTAGATGCACTTAGTAACTGCAGGGTTAATTTGGGCTTACTAACCTCAAAGTGCTTTGTCTGGGGGCAATGCAATAGTGGGTCCTCTTTGAACAGTTTTACTGCTTTGTTTAGAGTCCAACATGTCCTGATCTTGTTTGTCAGGCAAAGTCCAGGGGTGCACGCTTGTCACTGGGGCACAGCTGTGTTTAGTTGTAAGGGATGGAGCGGCAGGCTGACGGGCCCGTGGTTCTTGCTGGAGTAGGTGGTTGTTGTGCCCAGTGGCCACTTCTCTCTCACATGTGGATGGAAGGAACATAGGCAGCCTATGTTTGAGATATCGGTGTGAGTGGAGGGCAGCACAGGCGTGCCATTCAGGATGTGACAGACAGAAGCTTCCCTCCTGGATGGAGTGCTTCATGCCACTTAGAACTAAAAGCTGAAGCTAGGTCCTTTTGATGGGAACAAGGTGCCAGCGGCCCAAAGGCCTGTCCCTCAATGACCCAGGAGCCATGCATCATTAATGGGCAGTGTCTCCATTCCTTTTGGGAAGGTGTGTGTGGGGGGGTGAGATCCATAATAAATGGCAGTGAGTATAGAGTAGTGTCAGAAAGCTGCTGCAGGGCACAGCCTCTCCTCAACCTGGAGCTTGCCAGGGCTTTGGCTCTGTCTCACCGTCACTGCTGGCTGGCCAGGGGTGCTGTTCCTTTGGTAATTTGCTGACGGGAACATTCAATAGGTATATGCTGATATTACATTTGCCCCTACTTCAAAAACAAATTTATTTATTTATTTATTTATTTAGTGTGTATGTGTGGTCATGCCGTGTGGGTGGGTGCATGTGGAGTTCAGAGGTCAGCATTGGTTATCTTCCTCAATTGCTCTCCACTTGATTTATTTATTTATTTATTTATTTATTTTTTAGTTAGGAAAAGTTGTTTTATTTTATGTGGATGAGTGTTTTACCTGCATGTGTGTAATGACACTGCATGCTTGTCCTGATGTAAGAGGAGGTCAGCAGAGGGCGCTGGATCCCCTGAAACTGGAGTTGCAAGATGGTTGGGAGCCACCATGTGGGTGCTGGGAATCAAACCAGGGACCTCTAGAAGAGCAGCCAGTGCTCCTTCTTAACCACCCAATTACCCCTCCAGCCTCCAACTTACTTTTTTAAAGATTTATTTTTATTTCTTCCTCTGCCCTTCCTTCCGTCCTTCCTTCCTCCATCTCCTGCTTAACACCCCCCCCTGTGTGTGTGTGTGTGTGTGTGTGTGTGTGTGTGTGTGTGTGATGGCCTCTCCCTGGGAGCTGGAGTTACAGGTGGTTGTTAGTCACCCGTGGCTGCTGGGAACTGAATTTGGGCCCTCCCCTCTGTAGGAGCAGCCAGCACTTTTTTTTTTTATTAATTTATTTTTTACATTCCAATCCGAGTTCCCCCTCCCTCTTTTCTTCCCACTCCTCTCACCCCCCTCCTCCCATCTGCTCCACAGAGAGGGCAAGGCCTCCCCTAAGAAGTCTACTAAGTGTGTCCCAAGGCACCTCTCCACCACCCCCACCCTGTGTCTAGGCTGGGCGTGGTATCTCTCCACCCCCCACCCCCCCCATCATACCATACAGAATGGGCTCCGCTGAGTCAGTTTGTGCATTAGTGTTAGGTCTTGGACCCACAGTCAGCACTCTTAACTTCGGAGCTCCTCTCTGGGCTCATCTACCTTATTTTAAGATAGGGTCTCTCACTGTACCTGAAACTCACTGATTTGGCCAGACTTGGCTATCTGGCCAACCAGCATCAGGTATTCTCCCGTCCCCCCCTTCATCCCCGCCCCCAGAGTCAGGATTACAGTCTGAGCTGCTGCACTGAGCTGTTAACATAGGTGTGGGGATTTGTGGTCCTCATTCTGTGTGACAGCCCCCAGTCCCTGCCTCTACTTCATGATATATACATTGCTTATCCCTTTACAGTTGATAATGTAGCCACCATGCCTGTTTCTAAGGTGGCTACTGTTTCTTAGTGTTCTCACCTAACACTAAGATTTAAACATCTAGTTTAAATCTCAGAGCAACACTGAATAGAGGAATGTCTCTCCAGAACATGGATGAGGAGAATGAGATGAGCAGCTTGGCTTGGCAGGTCTGGATTTCAAATGCAGGTACCACTGAATCTGCAGATGTTGTTCTGTCCACCAGACCACATGATGCTCAGAACATCTGATACATGAAAATTCACATTTCTAAGACAAATTAAGTGACTAGCTTTACATGCACATTTGTGTTAAGACTCAGGTCACCGGTAGAGCCTGTTCTTGCTATATAGGGCTCAAAATCCTCATGTGAAATCGGAGCCACAGCTGTGTGCTAGGAGTGGCGTTGGATTGGGGAGAAAGTATGCTCACTGGGTTTTTCTTCTGTCTGGGTGTGAAAGGCTGTGTGTTGACCGTTAACACCCAGCGTCTGCTGATGATCCAGCCAGGCTTCCTATTGATTGATTTCTGATTTAGGTCATTGTCCCATGTAATTGGAGTGATTGGCTGAGTGAACCAGTGTGCTTTTTATTAGAGACCCAGGCAAGAAGCAGTTGTGGTACCTAGAAAAATGTGCTAGGATAGCTGGGCTTTTTGCTGGAGCAAGGCAGAAGTCAGGTCATTAAATGAAGACCACATCAGCTAGAGTTACGTGGGAAATGGGTGCCGTGATGAAGTTCAAAGTACAAGAGGTCTCCTGGGACAAATGCTGTGGGTGGCAGCATTGGGGTGAGTGCTCAGACAGGTCTGTGGGAGGAAATGGAAGGAGGCAGGCCTGTGGAGGAAGAATCTCAGCCCTGAGGAAGGTTCAGTGAAAGACTCAGTGGGCTCTGTGCAGAGAGCCTCAAATCAGGATGATGTACCAGGGCCTGTGCCCCACAGGCTCCTAGTGTGTGTCCCTTGTAGCTGCCTGTGGGTGCAGCAGGCTCCTACCTCACCTGAAAGCTCCCTGGTCATGTAGCCTCATCTGTTACTGCAGATGACAAAGAGGCCACTTTGTTTTTCCAGTTTGGGCATTTCTTGGAGGAAATGCTGGGGCAGGTGGGTCTCTTGTCTTGTGCATGCATGCTAGGCAAGCATTCTACCAGCACAAAAGTCTAGTAACCTGATGTGTTTTGAGTGTTTGCCTGCATACATGTCTGTGCACCATATGAGTGTCTGGTGCCCAAAAAAGTCAGAAGAGGACATAGGATCCGCTG